CACACTGCTCAAAGTTTGCCCTGGGGTCAACATACTTGGCATGCAAAAAAACCCAAACTCATGGGAGCCTCATACAGTAGAATTATCAGCTCTTCTGTTAAGAATGCTTTAAAAAGAGAGCTGCTCAGTGGGGAAAATAATCACAGCATCCAGCTATCAGATGCCCTTAAGTTGATTTTCAGTAATTCCATTTTTAGAAACATGAAGCTCATTATCCCTGTACTCATGGAAATCTCTCATTAGAGGTAGACTGAAAGCTTTAGTATTCAAAATACGGTAAATGGATCTAGTTTTCAGCAGGAGACATTTGCTGGGCAACAGTTACATAGGAAGCACTAAGGCCTAGGGATGGAACAGATTCAACTGTAAGCTTCTATTACATATTTATTTTAAAAAAGTAAGCCCAACAGGAAGATAGAACACAGTCTCACTTATATCACAATACAAATATATCCAAAAAACCCAGTGTCTGGCTACTACCTTAACTTGCTTTTCTTTCTTTTTCCGTACATCTTCCCATTCATTCACAATCCTCCCCCACAGGATCCATGAGTCTTCTTCAAGGTGGCTGAGATTGCTGGAAGCTGATGAACTAGATACAAGAGACGATCCGCTGTTTCTTCTTGACCCATTTACTGATCGTAAGGATTTGCTGTCGGTTTCCAAGAGCCTGCAAAGAAAGCACACAAAAACCAAATTCAAGTTCTTCTAATCAAAGGATCACACTATTAATTGTTTGTTTGTAAGTCAGTTCTTCCAATCTCTTGACAAAGAATGCACCCAGAGGTTCAATGGAACATCAATTGATACTAAATTTGAAAAGAATTCTTCAATGTTAGTGTTTTCTCTTGAGATCTCAAGTAATGCTGCAGACAGAACAGCTCACACTGCAGCATTTTAAGAAATGGATAAAGATGTCACCCACGGCTGTCATGTATCAGACTGACAAAGAGAACCTAAGGAAGTTAAATATCCCCAATGATAGTCTCAAATGTCTGAGTACTTAAAAAAATACAGTAATTAAAAAGACAAATAATTAGCCTCCTAAAATTCTACCTGATTACACTTTTTTAAAATTGACAGTGTAAATACAGACAAAATAATTAAAACCCAATGGAATTTTAAAACACCTGGCATTTGTTGACAACTGTTCACAAATCAACATGCTGTTTTATAAATGCAAGGGAGAAATTTCTGACCTGAAGACTGGGGACCAGGTGACAGGAGTGATTAGTACAGCTAATGAATGTTTAATTAATGCGCAGAGTTCAAACATGAGAATCTCTGGGGTTATCAGGCAGCAGAGGACACACAAAGATGTGCCAAGGGCCAGACAAGTTCCTGAAGAGGTTTCCCTGTTAGCTGGTTGCTATGGCCCTCAGCTTGGCAAAGAGCTGGGATTCTGGGCAAAAAGGCATGCTTTGTTTATCCTCAACTCACACTGAGCCCCATAAACAGGGGGAAATTTTTTAGACCATGTGTTAGGTAAGAGCAAGAATTCAGACTAACTTGAAAGTGTTTTGCTATACCAAGAGTTTCGTTTGTGCTTTAATTTCCAAGAATTCCAACATCAGTATACGAGAGCCACGTGGTTGAATAATTTCTCAATGCACCTGCACAAAAGCTGTCCCTGCCCAGCATTTCAGCAAGGTTACGGTCTAGATATTTAATAAATTATAAGCTGAGGTATATTGTACCTGAGATGGTACACAAACCTCAGCATACCTACAATTTTTAAGCTCTCTGCTACAATAGAGATATTTATACTAGCTTTCCCAGCTTTCACCTACTGGTGTTTATGAAAGGCGTGGGAAAAGTAATTTAATTCACAACGACAAGTACAGTTCTACAGCAGTATTTTGTTTGGAAAAGGGTTAAATGGTAATGCCTCCGGAAAAAAAAAAAAAAGCAAAGCCTTTTTAAGACAAATTTTCATTTAGTCCATATTGATGGAATGCAAAAAATCTAGTTTTAAAGAAAATATTTTAAAAATCCATTTTAAATGTTTAGAAGCATGGTTTATATTGACCCATAGTGAAAATGTAGTCTGGAACTCCTCTCAATCCAAGATAATGCCTAAACATCAAATTCAAAGTAATCACAGAGCAAAACCAAGCACAGAATAAACATTAAGATGACAAAAACAAGGTTCTAACTAGTCACTTCCAGTTTTCACAGTTTTCTATAGAAGTTACACTAAGTTTCTGCAATTTGACCTTACCTGGATAAACTCATTGTTCTTAGATTTGAAAATGGGAAGTTCTTTTTAAAGTAAGTAGCAAGTTCTGTGATGTTTAGTCACTGCTTTCTTTCATTTAAAACTTTATAAATGATTTACTAATGCCAAACAGTTGCACCAGGACTCTGGACTGAGCTACCTCATTATTCTGAGGGGACTTTCAGTATAATTAGATTACAGAATGCTACCAGACATAGCTTGATACAATTTGAGTTCTTCCCTTTTCTAGCTGTTTAACTAATTCGTATTCTCCTTATTGACATAAAAGCCAACAATGAAAAGGAAATCTTTAAAAACATGCATCATCAGCAGTTCTTCCAGCAAGCAGAAACAAGAATGGTTCCCTCTGAACAGAGTACAATTTCTTGTCAACAAAGTGCCACTGTGCAAAACTGCAGATGCAAACTGTTCTGAAACTACAGTGAACCCAGCATGAGAGCATCAAATTTCAGTATTAAAGGGTAGTATCTCACGAGGAAAGGTACACCTGATAGGGTAGCTTCTCATCAGAATTCATACACAAGACTAGTGTGGGACCGAACAACAGGTCTGGCTAAAATTAAATAAAACCTGACAAGATTTGCTAATTTATTTACTAAATGAAGAAAGCTGAGTTGAAAAAGAAATCCCAAGCTCATATTCTTCTTTCAACAAGCCAGCTAGTCTAACTGCAGGGCTTAATGAGATGACTCTACATGTAAAGACATTACGCTCCAACATAGATAAGCAGTCCAAAGAACAGTTTGCTTTACAAATAAAAGTCACTTTGCCATGAACAGAGTAGAAAGCCTCAGATTAAATGCAAATTAGCTTTCTTAAAAGCACTATTTAACTATTTTTTCTCTTCTCTTGATAATTTTTCATTTGCACAGCAAAAATTACATATAGTTCATCTTCAGAGACAATCTTAAACCACAAGGAAGAGAGGATGATGTGGTTCTAGAAGCTTCCTTCTACTCTCAGTCAAGAACTAGACAGATATATCAAATTCCCTGCAAACTGTACTGCTATTAGGCTGCAGAATATGAACATGAGAGAAGACTTGCCAGGTGACACAAAGGCATTAGCCCCTTCTCCCTCAGTTACTCTTCCTCCACTGGAAGTTACTACCCTCATAAGTGAATCAGCAGAGCAAACAACACACAACAACAAACAAAAAACACCCAACCAAAAATAGAGCACCTCAACTGCCTCAGTGCAAAGTCCAGTCACACTCACAGAAGCTGGAACTAGTTTGAGTTAAATTAGCAATCCCTGCACTGCACTACAGCACAGGGATAGCCATCTCCAGCAGGTATGAAAGCCCTGCAGATACCTGCCAAGTCTAAAAATCTATTTGGGGCTCAAGTTCTTTGCAGTCAACCTCTCAAAGACTACTGAAACATATTTATCAAACACAACCAAATTTTGCAAGAGGACGGATGACTTAGAAGTCCTGCCTCGAAAGTGCAAGTGCGTACGGTTTCTGGAAATTCAGCATTAAGAAATTATACAGTCCAATTCCATTTTTTAGTGACACTGCAAACTTGCAATCACTGTGCACATCAAGAGCAACTGATACACCTAAAAGTTGCACCTTGAATTGCACACAGTGCAAAAAAATATGCACTCATGGAAAGGTTGCCAAGGAAACGGTTACCTACTATACCAAAAAAAAAGGCAAGAAGAAAGGACTAATTAGGAATTACTACCAGTAGTGTTAACAGCAGAAACGTGGTTGAACACTGTTCTATCTCTATACATAGAAAGTTATGTAGTTAAAAGCAAGAACTGGGTAAAAATGGAAAAAATAGAAAAATGGAATTTAGAAGTACTTAAGATTTCAAGAAGCTAATAGGAAGTATAGTTTTGACCTTAGAAGGTAAGGTTATACACAAGTCTCATCCCTGAGATACTCTATTTTAAACTGGATACCGAAAATCACAGATTCAGCGTAATTTCTTACTATTAGAAGCAGCTACAAATGTTCCTGTAAAATCAGGAGAGAAAAACGCCTTTTAGAGTTCCACAAAAACAGAACTTGTAAAAACATAGCACAAGAATATAAGTTCTTAAACTTTAGGGCCTTGGAATTGAAGTGTTGTGCCATAACGTTTTACCTACCCCCCTTTAACAGCCTCTATGCTGCAATTGCAATAAAACAATTTCAGTCTCACTGCTGTACTTCGAAGAACAAAAAGGTTTCCATTCACCTGTTCTGTTCCTCAAGTTTTGCGAGTAGTTCTAAGTCGTCCGGGCTCAGCTGTGTTGGTGAGGATGGCGACAGGGCGGGTGTGGACAGAGTGGTGGAGGGGGATGTTGTGTGTAAGGAGGCAGATGGACTTGCCACCTGACTGGCCATTTGACTGACGGTGTGTGACACAGTGTTCTTCACCCATGAGAGAGTAGAGCTCAGCTTTCCTGCAACCTTGTCTGTCGCCACCTGTTAGGACAAAAAGAAGAAGATGCAAAAGTTGTCCTTTTTTAATTCCTTTTTTCCACTAAACCTGCTGCACCAAACAAAGGAAAAATATACAATATGCACAAAGGGACACTGAGTTTATTTATCTCTCCAGAACCCCCAAGGCTGTCAGAAGTTACACAAGCATCAACAGCAATACAACATTATAGAAGTAACATGCAAGTATGCTGCTCATCCACAAAGACAGACTCAGAGAAATTCCTGATGTATACTCACAGAGCTCATCTCTGCAGTACAGAAATACCACAGGATCCAGGATCAGCTCCGACTTCCCATTACAAAAATAAATAGAAATAAAAGCTTATTTTAAAACATCTTGATAAACTAATAATGGCACAGAAACTGTAGAAAAATAGATATAGAAACAATCAACTACTTTAGTGATAGGCACTGAAGCAGTACAAGTAACAAGTATCAGTGTAAACCCTCCAGGCCACCCACTGCTCACCTTCACTAATCCCTACGGTGGCAGGACAGAGGAGCAGGGACACCACATTTCTAATCTACACCAAAGCAAAAGATCCTCTAGCATCTGCCAGTGTGCAGAAAACAGTCTCAAAGAATTTATGCCCAGGAATCTACAACAGCTCCCAAATGTCTCACACTAAGGCATCACACTGCCGGTTCTGCTCTTTCCTCATTTTCTCTTCAGGTCACTCCCTACACCAAGTGTCCTCAATCCCCAGTCTCACTGCCAGTGCCTGGACAGGCCTGGGGTTTTGGAGGAAGAGCAAGAGGTGCTACTTGAGCAGTCAGGGAAACAGTGGGTTTGGGAAAGTGAAGTTACCTGCCACTTCATTAATTCTGCCAATTTATTAATCATTAATTGCTGCTATTTCTTGACCAGAGTTGTGGGGTCAGAGCAGTCAGAACAGAGCCGCTGCTCACTCAGGAAATGAAAACAGCAGCCCTTTGGGGCATTTTCTAGTGAACCCCTCACTAGAGCTTCCTTCAGCATCTGAAAATACAGGGCTTTGACCTACAGTGACTCAGAGTTTAATTCTTCCCCAGCCCAACTCAGAGAAAATCCAGATGCACCTCAGAGGAAGGGCTAGCTGCAGAGCAAAGGTTAAAACTTGGCAAAACAAAGGCTGAAGAGGAACTTTTGAAGTGGTGTTGCTGGTAACTATTTATTTTGACCTTTGCTGATTTCCTCAAAACACTGAATTACTCAATTGTTGCGACAAACAATTCTGCAGTATAGCCTATAAATAATTACTAAGATACTAAAGACACTGAGCTACAGGGAAAAAAAGTCACTTCTGAAGATCCTCCAATATTATCTAATTAAAGTAAAATTACTGGAACGAGTAAATCCATCTCATAACACTGTGCATTTATCTGAAGCACAATATATAGACTGAGTGACTGGTTGCTAAAGCAGAAGCTTTTATTTGGATGCAATGCTACAAAGAACTTTCCTGTCAATCAAATACAGCATTGTTTTATTGTCACTTCATATCAAAAGGAAGACACACTGAATGCCTTCAGATAACAAGAGGAACACCACAGGTCAAACCCAAACCAGTAGTACTCAACCTCCTCACTTTCTCTCCACCAACAACATGACACTGAAGAGCTCTCCTAGAAGACTGCAAAGGGGTTTCCAATTTCCATGTGTTCCACATTCACACATTCAGATTCTGCCAGAAGCCTTCAGATGCAGGGTGGGAATAGTAAGGTCCCCAATGCAAGCATCAGAAAGATTCCAGTATGTCACGGTGGGACAGAAAGACTCCAGGATATCAATTACAAAAAAAAACCCCAAAACCAAAAAGCCAACCAAACAAAAAAACCAAAATACAGAAATCCCAACATATATATTTTAAATATAATCTTGGAAGAAATTACTTTCAACACTAGTATTTGACACCATCTTTTTTTATACAAGAAAGGAATAAAAATTACTAGATGTTTCAAAATCCTAATTTTAGTACATTAATATTTCACTCTCAGTCTACATCCTTTATTCACTGTCACTATGAAAGGATAAATTACTGCTGTTTCACTTTGAATGAAACTGCATTATAATGAAGGTAACTCATACATCTTACTTAAGACTGATTATTTTCTCAAAGGCTTTAAACTGCTTAAAATATCACAAGTAATGCAACTACTCCAAAAATAAGTGCCAACAGAAACAGGGCCAATCTTAACAACATGGTAAAAATGACTGCCATACACAGCAGGCTTTAAGAGTCACCCGTACTAAGAATCTTAGGTATAAAGATTAGGAAAGCAGTGATTTTGAGTAATACCCTGTGGTGCAAATAGGAAGAGAAAATACATTCAATTTTTTATCTCTTCACAAAGTAACTGGGAAGATTTAAGGCAAAAAAGTAAATTCAAGGTCAATCTGGCTTATAAATGTGAGGCTCACACTGCATGGTAAGAGAGCTGAAGTGGTGGGTGGTGTAGGGGACAGAAATCAAGAACCTTGCTAACATTCATTCACCAAGATTTCATCAGGCATTAAACAAATTAACTCAAAGGTTTGGAGAAGCCAATTATGTGAGGAATATCAAGAAAAAGTAAG